CCTCAAATCTAGTCTTATATCTAGAGACACATTTATGTTGCTGGATGTATTTAAAGTGTCACCAAGCCGGTCCTGACCTCCCTGGGGCCCTCCTACCTGACCCATGAGCCATGTAAACCATTCGCCATTTCCACACAGATTTCTGCTAGTGATGACGCCATTGTTTATATCAAGAATTCACGTTTATACTAGTGAAATTGTTATTCTTACAAAGAATTCACATTTTAAATATTGAAAATTTAACTGATATTAAAAGTGCATATTCTGTGAATGACTAAATGCTAAAATGGCTTGCCATAGGATGTCTTTGTGTTTTATAGAGTATGCATGTTAGAACAATACTGGATACTTGATGGTTATTATTTACTGAGGGATGTGCAACCTTATTGACATACATATGGATGCACATCCCTCAGTAAATAATAACCATCAAGTATCAAGTATTGTTGAAACATGCATACAATAAAACACAGTGACATGCTATGGCAAGCCATTTACCATGCCCAGCTAATCAACATTTTAAGTTCAATATATAAATCAGTAGTCAATGTCAATCCATTGCTTTGCATCTTGCATTCGTGCAGAGTTGTAACTAAACCTTGACTGAGAGACTAGATAATAATTGTCTTGTTTTAAAATCATGTGCACCTATAATGATGAGTGCCATCACGCCCATATATTGTACTGGTCCCCACAGATGTTGCTGCTGGAAAATGTACATTTCATTACATGTTTGCGCATATGAACACATGTTCACATGCGATGTGGTTATCTTTTCCGAGCTGCAGTTTATAAACACTGTTGCCCTTTGACGTTTAACAAACATAATAAACTGTCAGGCACAAAGTCACAGAACACAGCCCTGGAAGTGACTGGCAATGGCAAGCAAGCAAGACACAGACAGACCAAGAGATGCACTGCCTAGCTAGGTTAGCAAGACAGACAGGCTAAAGAGAGATGCAAATTAACTTAACTTTACTGTTATTTGCTGACATCAAACTTGGAGAGCAGAGAACACAGGTTGCTGTTCCTGCAATACACTCTCATGGTGTTTTTTCCCCTCTCTCTCTGTCTCTCTTTTCGTGACCAGAGGGATAGTTCTGCTTCGTATTCTCATTAAAGTTGTAAACAGAGACATATTCTTTGACACAAGGAGCCTTGCATAATTCGCGGGGCCCTACGCAACTTGTGTATAGGGCCGCTCTGATTTAGATAGAATGTGACCTCAATTAATTCCCAATTTCAGGTTTTGCAGATTTGCAACCCAAATTGCAAACAATAAGATATAGGCTACACACTTAGTTGCAATGTTTACATTATCTTAAAACTTTCTCTAAAACTCTCATGCCCTTTCAAACTTTTACCAAAATGAAATGGGTGAGCCGAACTAGATTGTGGAACAGAATCAGCCAGAAAATGTCCAGCATACATGAGAACGTTTCTCCCATACAGAAATGTAATGTATGACAAAAATTGCCCTGTACAACCGTGATATTGCCATAAGGTGATACAATTTTCACATGGGTAGATGAAGTTTATAACATATATAAAAATATCATAGTAAAATGTGTATGTACATGTGTTAATGATATCTATATGATGATTTTTTTATATAGTACTATATGTAGCAACTGTATGTAAACAATATATATATATATATATATACAAAAATCTGTGTTTATATGTTTTGTAATACATTTTTAAAATACATGTCTATCTTTTATATTTACTTATATAATATCAACATGTATTGTATAAATCTACATACAGTTTTTGTATGGGCTAGATATATGTGTTAATATATGAAATTGTTCCAGTGTCTTTCATATATGTTTTTACATCATATGACAATATATTTAAATGTAATGTATGTATGTTTTACATGTGCATACAAACAATAATGTTAAAAAAAGTTCTTTACAAATATTCATCCTCTGCCAAGATGCAAATGTGTCCACCTCCATCAAATCAACCATTTCTTATCCAAAATGTATCCTCCTCCTCTTGTACGATGACATACCACCATTTACTCAAATTATTAAAAGATTTATTAGCCTTGATGCAGGATTATGAATCTAGACTACAGGAAACGAGCTGGCACAACTCGCGCAACAAAATAACACTGGAATCAGAAATCAGAGAGGAACATTTCAACACAGAGGAGTGCATGCAGTAAATCACAGCTTTCGAGAGATACTTCCAGTAATGTCACTGGCTCAAATCAAAGCACATTGTTAAAGCATAGATGAGACAAAATATGTTCAAATGACTCCTTTTGCTTCCTGCGATTCCAGTGGCTTAGACAGTGAGAACAATACAATTTTATGAGCATTTATTGTTGGACAGCATTATCTGCCAATCTTTTTATTGATATAATGCTTTAGGATGTAGCTGATCGTCTGCAAGCAGACTTAAAATGTTACCTAACAACTCTGAGGCCTGTTTGAGTATATCTGCATTGACCCCATGCTGCAAGAAAATACCAGCAGGATGATGACCCATATTCCAAATGAATAGCACGAAGAAACTCATGCTCAATATTTTCCTCTCCTTCAGCTAGCATGTGGCAGAATAGCACCTCCAAACAAGAGGGAGCAAACTTCTCCCGAATTCATTGAACATGCAAATGCAGTCCGATTGGAAATGGATTAAAATGACAAGCGAAGAAAAGTAAAAGTATTAATAAAATGCAATGTGCAAGCCCGCTGAGGAAATTGTAATGGGTTACATGTACAGTTCAAAAGACATTTCAGAATCAGCAACTTGTTAAGATCAGGCAACCTTCATTTACATAACCATATCACAATGGACTGAGAATGTCGTGCCATATGGGCATGTTTGCTCTGCGCTTCAGAATACTGTAGGCAGAAAGACGGAGACTGCAAGAGTACAGGCTCTTTTCGTTTGTGCTCTTGCATAGATGTGTACTAAGCACATCATGGGATGTGACATTTTTCGGTTTCTACTTAAAGCTATGCTATAATCTTAAGAGCAAGATGATTCCATGCCCAAAATGCCATTATATATACCCTGTGTTAATGGACAACTCGGAAAATATTGATTTGCACTTAAAATAGAAATATACATTGTATATACATTTTCTTTTAAAATCTCAAGTCAATATGCAATACATCATCATATGCCTGTCACGATTTTGTTGAAGCAACTGTGACAAACTGATGCCTAATGCTGGATAACATGGAGACAATTTCTGTCTGGTTGTATGAAAGGTTGCAATTCAGTCGACAGTTTAATAAGAGGGCAGGTATTTTAATGCTAAGCAATGCTGAATTAGGAAGCTCATATTAGAAGTTATCACTGTTGTGTAATATGTAAATATAGTCATCAGTGTTTGTTTGTTTGCACATGCATAGTGTTAGTATTTGAGGTCATGCATGTAGAACTATGCAGCCATTCGTATTTGACATGGCTATATTGTTTGTTGCTTGATGCGAATGCTGTTTATACTGCAAAATTATGCACCAATAAATTAAATGTCTGTATCTTATTCCCATTGCTATAAATAGAGGGCGGGCCACACAAGAATTAGCTGGAATTAAGTGTGTACTTAAGACCCACTTAAATATGACTTAAGTACATTTTTATATACAATTTCATAATGATAATTTCATTGCCAAATGTACTGACAAGCATTTATAGTCAACTAAATTATACTTTAATGAAATTTCTATCGAAGCATGTATATCATGTATTTAAATATATTTGTAATTACATATTTGTGATGAAGTTGCAATATATTACACATAATAAATAATATATAATATATTGTGTATAATCATGTACTTGTATCAAGTGCTTTAGTATGTTAGTCAACACATCAAAATAAGTCTACTTCTTTAAAACATGACAAAAGATTATTAAAACAATGATTTAAAATGTTCTTTAAAGAAAAACTTTTAATTATTACAAAGTGAACTTTTTTAAAAGTGTTAAGCAACAATCATGAACGTTTGCTCTCTTTAAGTATACTTACTACAAGTAGTTTTTTAAAAACATTAAAAGTGCTGTCAATACAATTAAGTGTACTTCTTTTTCACAAGGGTAGACATGCCATACATAAGCGGATTGAGGTTGGGGTGGGACTATTTGTTTGGCCCACTAATGACAGATAAGGGGAGAGTGAATTTAAAACAGTTTGAAAACAGCAGAATTACAGTATTAAGAAATCATTTTGGTTCTGCTATATGCACAGAAATTACACACTTCATCTTTTTAATTAGAGCAGAGATTTGTGCACTTCTCTCGTGATTGACAAAGTGCCTGGCAATGTTCAAGTGTTTCCACAAATCATTTAAACGGGGATAAAATCAAGTAGCTTACATTTGAATCAGTGCATTGGCACAGATTTGTAGACAGAATTTCAAAATTTCCTCAGGCAACCTACTGACTAGTCAACTAATATTTCTTAAAGAAGTCCTGTTTAATTGACTAATTTCATGTTCACTAATCAGACATGTTTGTTAGCAGGTGTTGACATAAGACCAGACACAACAGAATGAAACTGACTGCAAGAGTCTCGAGACACATTTTTAAAAGGTATTTTTCAGTAAACAACTCATCTTAATTTGCCGCCTTAATAATGCTCATGGCGCAAGATGCTTAAAAAACATCATGAAACATCAACCAAAGACCTGTCTGCATGTGAATGGCTGTGTTGCCGGTGTCTTAAAGGCGATGGATTTGAAGACGCAGCTTATCCAAGAGGGTTTCATCGTGCAAACTGTCAAACAGCGCTCTGTCAGCATGCTAATCGGCTAGTCAGTTGATGACCATTCTCACACGCCCATTATCTTTACACCAAGATGATGATTTTAGCAATGAACTATGCATATCCAGCAAAACCAAAGCAAACTCTTTTAGTGAATGTACATGCTATTATCTATAGATTACATTTTCATATTACGCTGCACTGTATGCTTCTTGACATAAGTCCAGAAATGAAAAGAGCCCACAGGCAGGCAGAGCAAAGTCTCCGAAAGCTCTGAAGGGCATACAAAACAGCAGAAAGCAGAAGTGGCCTTGCGAGGTTGAAAATAGTCAGCAGGGATCAGAAGGCCTGGTCCTGATGGGAATTCAATGTATTGTCTGCTCTTACGCGAAGCAGAGGCGAAAATGACTCCGGTTTGCATGCTGGGAGAGCAGTAATGGTGTCAAGGGCAAGATCGGAGACCATGAGCCAAACCGTCAGTCATGTTTGAACAGCTTATGAATGAACAAAATTTAGTCAGGATGACAGTGTATACTGCATGTTGTTCCAGTTCCAGCTCTCATCTGTTTCAGTACTGTGGAGGTGTTCAGGGCTGGACCGGACTTCAGGTTAAGTGTTATTCAGGTGTGTTGGCGATGGAGCTGGGGGTTGAATTCAGCACTGGGTTCATCGGGGGTATGGCCTTGTGACTGAAGTACTCCACTACCTGTTTAGGCACCTCCGCTAGGACACACTTTGCCAGTGCAGCTGGTGAAGCCTGCAAAAGTCACACTTTTATTGGCCTCCATGAAGGGGAAAACATTAACAACAGTGTAAAAGAGGAAATCAACGAGGAAAAAGTATAGTTTGTAATTTGAATTGTCTGGTAGAGAGCCAAACAGCAGGCTGTTGAGAGTATTTACACTTGACTTGTTTAATCCTCACTTCTCTTTTTTTTCTGGCTGTGTACATCAGTGGAGGGAACAAACAGCTCTTATGGAGAAACTGTGAAGCTCTAAGAGCCATTTCTGCCCAAATGGACCACTGGAATATGATTGATATTGCAATGATATATATGATTGATATGAGATTTGCTTCACTGCCTGCTTCATTCACCATGCCATTTATGCAAGGCATCCATGGCTCCTTTTACAATATGTTAAATGTAATTTACAAATTTTAAGGCCATAAAAAGTATTGCAATATATATATATATATATTTTTTTTTTTTTTTTGCAAATGCCCGTTTCCGCCACTGAATAAAAAATAAAAGAGGTAATTGCGACTTTTTATCTCACAATTCTGACTTTTTTTCTCAGAATTGCGTGATACAAACTCGCAATTGCGAGTTAAAAAGTCATAATTGAGAGACATAAAGTCGCAATTCTGAGAAATAAAGTGAGAACTGCGAGATATAAACTCACAATTCTGACTTTTTTTCTTGCAGTTGCGAGTTTATATCTCGCAATTCTGACTTTTTTTCTCACAATTCTGATATAAATATCGCAAAATATAAACTCGCAATTGCGAGTAAAAAATTTTTAATTGTGAGATATAAACTCGCAATTCTGAGAACATATCAGTCTTTTTTCCCCCCTCAAAAAAACTATCTCACAATTAAATTTTTATATTTTATATATATTTATATTTGACTATATGTTTTATAGGGTGAGGATTAAAATAACTCCTGCATAATAACTTGAAGTGATTTTGTTTCTTTATTGCAAACATTTTAAAAAATACTATTTATTTATTTATTTATTCTCAAATTTAGCTCAGCAGACACCTTCTTTCTGAGATAATAAAAATATTTACCTTCATTTGCAAATTGTCAGTGACTAAGAACTGAGAAAAACTAACCGTTTTAAAGTCTCTGAAGGGCACAAACTGGACGATGTCCCTCAAGACGGGTTCCCCTTTGGGTGAGCGCAGGACTCCATCATCCCCATCAAGGATCTGCATATCTGTGAAGTCGGCGTTTCCCACTCCCACTATTATGATGGACATTGGCTGGTAGGAGGCCCGAACAATGGCCTCCCGTGTATCGGCCATGTCTGTTACCACCCCGTCTGTGAGGATCAGCAGGATATGATACAGCTGGCAGAGAAAAGGGTTGTTATCAGGTATGTTGTCTGATTTATTATTCAATGTTATAAACATGTCTGGAGCTTCATCCACTAAGCATTCACTTTCAAGGAAAAATGTCCATTAATGGAAATTGTCATTACTTACTGACCCTCATGTTGTTCTAAACCTCTATTCTTTTTTTTTTTCAGTGGTTCAAATCAATTTGTTAAGCATAAAAAGCTCCCAAAAAGTGCAAAAAAAATCAACATGAATGATTCTTTAAAAATTCTATTGAACATAAAAAATTACTTAATTTGGGTTCGGAACTAACATGAGCGTAAGTAAAAACTGAATTTTTATTTATGGGTGAACTGTTCGTTTAATTGTCTCGATAGTAATGAACAGAATATTGGATACCCTACTAAAATAGGCAGTCAGTGGGCTAAAGTTAGCAATATTTACTGGCCTGAACATCCCCAGAGGTCCTGCCAACATTAAACATGCAATGTCTACAGTTTGAATGAATGGCCTGGTTTCTGAACATTGATCTCACTGAGCTCATTTACTGAAAAATGATCACTTTTGGGGAAGGGGTGACATAAGATTAAATAATAAATGAAGATCATCACAAGGACATGGTGTGCAGAAGACAGCAATGAAATAAAGCAATGCATAGATAATTGCTAAGCTTGAGGGCAAATATTTGACCCGAGACCATTTAATGACATGTAAAGGGACTCTGAATGGATTGTAGTTGCGTTAATTACCAAAGCAGCCCTCCAGATAATCAGCTGAAAAAACATTAAGCGGTTTTATTTGGATCTAAATGTCAAAGGTTATGTGAACAAACCAAGGACATAAGATAAAAACCCAAAAGAATAGTCAGGGGCAAAATCATTAAACCACTTTAAAGAGCTGCATGTCAGCACAAAATCCAGTTTTAACTCATATTTCACCTGCAGTCCAGATACTAAATTCATGTCACCATGCATATTTCATCATGCATATTTACATTAAATCACATAAAATGAATTCCTTTCATTGAAAAGACAAATATGATTATATTATATATAATTTAGTTTCCAATTTAAGCCCTGTCCACATTTGAATGTACAGTAGATATATTCACTCTGAAGTGGAAAGTCTTGATGACTTTAATAGGTTGAGGATTTTTTTTAATGTAAATGATTTATTTTAAATTCCAAACATTCATTCATTTAAAAAAAATTTTTTTAAGAGTAATAAAAACTCCTAATTTGATGCTTATTGATCGTAAGTAATGTTGTTGTTGTAGTAGTTATGTTTAGGTATGTTATAACCTGGCACATATCCAGACACATGATGTAAAAATACATTTTAAAGGGGTCATATGATGCGATTTCCAGTTTTCCTTTCTCTTTGGAGTGTTACAAGCTCTTGGTGCATAAAGAAGATCTGTAAAGTTGCAAAGACTAAAGTCTCAATGTACAGTATTTGAAAAATAATGTGTTTTTTGAACATTAAAGCATGTCAACATATTCTGTTACACCAAATACACCAAATAATGATCTTTAAAATAGCATCATATGACCCCTTTAAAGTATATGAATAACAGTGTTGGAGAAATACTGTACAGTCTCAGCGAAATATGCCAGATCATGATAGTCAGCTGCATCTTCCACAACATAGAATCCACTGAGGAATATCCCCATGCAGATATCCACCAGCAGCGCTTTTGTGGCCGTGTTTCCGCCATTACCTGATTGCATAATTCCTCTGTGTTTATTTTTAATGAATTTCCCTTTCAGTGCTGTGCCATACACGGAAACTTTAAAGATACTCACAGAAGCATCTTTGATGGGTTCTTTCCCAGCCGCCTGCTTAGCTATTCTGTTGATGATGGGAGCCACATTAGTGGGACCGTAGAGCTGGATCTTGGGCAGGCAGTTTTGGTAGGCTTCCACAACCCCCTGGATCTCTGATCAGAGAGAGAGGGGACATGGCTAAAACTTCTGTTCTGGAGGCTTATTTGTATTTCTCTCTCTGTCTCAACGGGCTTCTGAGAGCAGTGCTGAAGTATTGGCAGCAAAAGCAACAGATTTTGGGATCAAGAGACTGACTTGGAGCTCTCCGTCTTCTGCATAAAGGACTGAAGCAAGCCCAAGATTGTCCACAGTCTTCACACATTCTCTTTGAGTGTTAAAGGAACTGTTCACCCAGAAATTAAAATTCAGTCATTATTTACTCACCCTCATGCCGCTCCAAAACCGTATGACTTTACTTGAAGCCTTTATGTATAATGCATTATAAAGGTATTCATAATGTATGTTGCAATGCAATATATCTTTTCACAATAATTTTGGTTAACTGTAACCAAAATTAAATGCATAATAATATTTGCAGATTTCTTGTTACATCTAAAACAGGTTGTTTATCAGGTGCATTACGCATTATACTTTCTAAAGGTGTAACAAGGAATAGATAAGTATTATAATGTAGTATAACTGTGGTTACAAATATTCCAGATCATACAATGAATTATAAGGTGCATTATATAAATAGTGCATTAAAAAATTGTATAATAATTGTAACCAAAGTTAAATGCATAATAATATTAGCAGATTCCTTGTTACATCTGAAACTGGTTGTTTGTCAGGTGCATTACGCATTATACTTTCTAAAGGCGTAACAATGAATAGATAAGTATTATAATGTATTAAAACTGATATTCCAGATCATACAGTTAATTATAAGGTGCATTACATAAATACTGCATACATTTTTTTATAATGCATTATATATAAAGGCTTCAAGTAGAAGCGTTACTGACATCGCTTCTTCCGTGAAACACAAACGTGATATGTATATATAATATGTATAATATGATATGTGTGAAAAATTGTCTAAAATTTTGTAATTATTCATAACAGTGCTAAATCCAGTTTTTTGAATGAAAGCTGACAGTAAAGGGCAAGATTAATAAGATAAATAGAATATATATTTGGATCTGTTCCTCACACAAAGATACTGCTTTTTTTGAAAAGAGTGGCCATTCCTCAACATTTCTCCTTTTGTGTTCCACAGAAGAAAGAAAGTCATATAAAGTTTGAAACATCAGTGAGGGTAAATGATGACAGACTTTTTATTTGTGAGTGAACTTTTCCTATAACTGTGACTAAAGCTTCAAAAACATTGCAGAGTGTCTCTGTTCAGTTCCCATGAGATCACTAACATGCAAAGTGCTCGTCTCTCTTACCTTCACATTCATCATCCTCCGGGTTGAAATTTATGGCAAAGTCATGAGACACCTGTAGTTTGTAGAAGAAAAACACACAGTAAGGGTTTGTTTATCCGACTTCAGCTTGTTAAGCATGCTATTACACACCTGTTTTCTGGTTAAAAACCTAATTCAATGTCATAAATCCTGCTCTTAAATGAAGGCAATAAATCATGCAGTGCTGGTTAGGCTTATTTGAATGTTTCTAGGAAAAATACTTTCTGCAACACTATGCATGAAATTACCAGATGATGATGATGCTAAAACAAAATAGCATCCTCCCTACAGATATTCCATTGTAAGCAACAACCACTGTGGGCCCCCTCTGGTACTTTTTGTTGCACAAATTTTATTGCAATTGATTTTCTTTTGTTGACGAAGACATTCTGAATATAATTATTATTATTGTATTTCCTTGAAAAGGAAATAGAGCTCATAACTAGTGCAGTGCAATCTGCCTGAACAAACAGACCATAAAATGAAATCCTGTGACAGATTACTGTCAACACTCAGGGAAGCCTTTGCAAGCTGTTATTATTTTAATTCTATGAGAATAGCCCTTTCTTCTGTAAAGTTGTTATTACATGAGAGAGAGAGTATGTAAATAAAAATAAAACAAGTTATGACTTTGCATATTTAAGATATAGAGTGCCAGAGACTGTGGTTTGCTGGTCTACCAAATATAGAAGATGGCCGATACTTCTACATTTACAAATTACCAATAGACAACCCTTGTGAAAAAAAGAAGTGCACTTGTTGTGTACTTCAAATCTTAAAAGTATATATATATATACATCTGTTCCATCTTTATTTGACCCTCTAACTGTAGCACTTTCTATTCTATTTTAATTCTACTTTATTGATCTTCTTTTTTATAAAAAAAAACACTAGCTTTCTATTTTTTCTATTCTATCTACTTGTTTTTCTGTGTGTGTGTGTGTGCACATATACACAAAAAAATTATAAAAATAAAAATAAAAAATACCTTGCTACGTGTACTGCGTTAGGCTAACCGAAACTTGTCATTTGCACTTACATATTGTTGCTCTTTTGTTCATTTTGATTGCTTCTATCTACCTCATTTGTAAGTCGCTTTGGATAAAAGGTTTTATAGAACCACGTTACGTAAAATACATACGAATTATCATGAGATCACGTTGATATATATGTGTAAATAATATAATATTAATGAAGTACAAGGCCACTTAAGTGTACTTACAGAAAGAACACTTTAATAACGCAAGTACATAATGTCAAATTATAGGTTTTACTTTAAAGTACATTTTTAATCATTTGTTTTAATAATCTCTTGCCATGCTTTAAAGTTCACTTATTTCGATGTGTTTACTAACATACTATAGCACTTGTAAAGTACTTGATTATAACTTTAACTGTAGTGTTATTCAATATTACATTTGAAAATATATTTTAAATGTACTAAATTGCAACTTCATCATTACAAATGCTTGTCAGTATATTCACCAGTACACATCAATCAAATTTAATCAAAGACAATAGAATTAATTATGAAATTACATATATTGGTGTACTTAAGTCCTACTTAAGTGGGCCAAAAGCACTTAATATAATTTAGACTATAATACACTATTATTTAATCGCAGTTAACATGGAATTAAGTCTCTGAAAACAATATATTCACTTTGCACTTATACAAACATATATTATTTTAAAGTGTATTATTTCTGTAATAAGTACTCTTTTTAAAAGTATGTTAAATTATACTTCTTTTTTCACAAGGGGTTGTATTCACTCTATATCTGTCCATTCTTCTCCTGTGGACTTTAGTCTGTACTGCTGAATGTACTAACAAGCATGTAGGCACAAAAATATACTTTAATGTCATTTCTTTTGAGACTTTTAAGCACATTTCTTTTACAGGACCACACATGAATATGCATACAGTATATATATATATATATATATATATATATGGTCTTTTACCTCATAATTAGGTGGAATTCTTGCCCCGAAGCCCAAAGCAGAGAACCGTTTGTCACTGTGATCAGATAAATAAATTTATTAATAAATAAAACAACACATTGGAAATTTGTTTGTCTAAAAAAAAAAACACCTAAATGCAGGGATTGGGCAAAATAATGTGTACACCTTGCAAAATGGGCAATATTTCTTTATTAAGTTGTTTTACCACCATTTTTGCCCTTAAAACAACTTCCAACCTTAGAAAAGATTCATAAAACGTTTTAATAGTCTCCAGTCGAATGTTGTCTATAAAAACATCTACCAGTTGCTTTAGAAATGCTAAAGGACGGAATCAGCTTCTCACTCTTCTCTTCAAACCTGCCTACAGTGGTTTGATATTATTCAGGTCAGGTGATTTGTCTGGCTAGGGCAGATGCTGAAGTTCATCTTGGTGCTCCAACTGTCCAGGTTTTATATTGTAACGGAGGCCAGCGAGTAGGTGCTATGCAGGTAAACCTCACTCCCCTGATCTCAAGAGACGCACTAATGACTGATGCTAGAGGCTGCAGTCTTTAGCCTCCTTGTTAGTGCGTCTGCCTCCCATGCCGGAGACCCGGGTTCGAGACCCACTCGGAACAAGAATGAGGTGTGGCGGGGAGGACCCGGGAGAGAGGGGTTACATTGGTTACATTGTCAGTACATTCATGGAGGGGTTACATTGGTGCCGTGACCCGGATGGGAGTGAGGTTTAGGGGGGTGAGTGTAACGGAGGCCAGCGACTAGGTACTATGCAAGTAAACCTCACTCCTCTGATCTCAAGAGACACACTAGTGACTGATGCTAGAGGCTGCAGTCTTTAGCCTCTTTGTTAGTGCGTCTGTCTCCCATGCCAGAGACCCACTCGGAACAAGAATGAGGTGTGGCGGGGAGGACCCGGGAGAGAGGGGTTACATTGGTGCCGTGACCCGGATGGGAGTGAGGTTTAGGGGGGTTCAGCACAATAAATATTTTGAAGAATGCTGGTAACCAAACAGTTGTTGGTAGCCACTGACTTCCATTACTATGGAACTCAATAGCTATCAGCAACTGTTTGGTTACCAGCATTCTTCAAAATATCTTCTTTTGTGTTCAGCGAAAGAAAGAAACTGATCATCAATGCAATTTTGGAACAACTTGAGGGTGAGTAAATGCTAGCATTTTCATTTTTGGGTGAACTATACCTTTAACCCCTACAGTAATGGATGTTTACATTATTTTGTCCAAACCTTGTATGTGCAACTCTTAGGTCCTTTCTCAAATATTCTATTAATCAAAACCCCTTCCACATAATCACACACAGGGCTTAATATCAACAAATACACCACCAGCATAACAAGGTTCAAATATCAATAGGGTGAACATGGTGTACTGTTGAGGACAGAGGTGTGTGCAAGATCATATTATGTATTGGAGCGTGTTGGAGGGATGAAAGAGACTCCAGAGGGAGAGGAGAAGGCACAGACGCAGCAGGACAGCAGATCCGCACAGCTGATCACGCAACAGGCGACAACTCACAGCCGTGTGACGGAGAGAGGAAGGGTATCATGAGGTCAGAAGCACAGAGGCGTGCAGTAGAGAGCTGAGACATGAGAAACACGATAACCACAGGCACAGAGCTTGTCTTTCACTTGCTAATGAACGCTAGATGAGGTAGCACCATTCTGATAGCTGTCACCAGAGGCCAGTAATGCTGGCCAATCAATGCCACCTTCTCTTGCTCCAAAAGCTGAGGTGTGATTTGAATGAATCACAGTTGAGCCAAGTTTGTGGAGTATCTTTATGCAAACAGCTTTAATGGACGAAGCTATTGCAATTATTCTCTATTTGAATTCACTAAACTGAGTGCACAAAACTTTTATTCACTGCAAGGTTGTTCCTCATTCTGAACTGAATTGAGAATGCTTGAGTTGCTAAATCGGAGTTGAATTTGAAGTGAGGTAGTAAACAGGATACAGAATTGCGATTAGAATATATTTGAATGTAAGGAAGTAGAATTACAAAAAATAAAATTCAAAGAAATCCATATGACTAATTTTTAACCAGAAAAGCAAGACAAGCTTTGAATGCTTGACAAAGTCTTGATTGATATATTTTTTTTAAAGTTTAAAAAGTCTTTGAAGTTTAAAGGTTTTATAGGCCTAAAGAAACGCATAATGATAGAAAGATAGATTTGTATTTAGTTTATACATTTCATCAAATAAATTATCCTTTGCAAACCAGAGTGGAAGAACACTTTCCAGAATGCATTACCTGTGTTTTTTTTATTGTAATTAAGTAAATGTATAGTCTTTATGTATAATACATTATAAAGGTATTTATAATGTGCATTATAATGCATTATATCTGTTCATAAATAATTGTAAAAAAGAAAAAAAAAGAAAAAAGTTAGGTAACACTTTAGTTTATGGACCAATTCTTACTAATAACAAGTTGCTTATTAGTATGCATATTACTAGCATATTGGCTGTTTATTAGTACTCATAAAGCACATATTAATGCCCTTAATCCTACCCCATACCTAAACGTAAAGACTACCTTACTAACTATTAATAAGCAGCAAATTTTAGTATATTGAGGCAAAAGTTGTAGTTAATAGTTAGTTAACAGAGAGAATTGGACCTTAAAATAAAGTGTGACCAAAAGTTAAAATGCATTATAATATTTGCCGATTCCTTGTTACATCTGAAACTAGTTGTTTGTCCTGTGTTTTAATGAAATATAATATTTTAAAGGTGTAACAATAGAAATAACAAAAGAAATGTGTTATAATGTATTATAAATGTTGTTGCAGTTATTCATGAGATCATACAATGCATTATAATGTGCATTACAAGGCATAATTAATGCATTTAAAATACTTGTATAATGCATTACACATAAGCTTCAAAGTTACCAACTAAACTAACTAAAATAAAATAAAATATTTTTTAAAAAATTACATTTAATTGTATTTTATTTTATTTAAATTTATTTTTATTTTACTAAAACAACAACAACAACAAAAGCTAAAACCTAATTTAAAAAACTAGACATATTAAATAAATAAATAAATAACAACAACAGTGTTACTAAAACTTTAACTAAAATTAAAATGAAAACCAAAAATATAAAAATAAAATCCAATTCAGAATATTAACAAAACCTACAATAATAAATCAGTAATATGAAAATTAACACTGACAGGGACATGTCAAACTCACAGTTTTTGCATCTTAAACAGCCATTTTAAATGAAACCCCACCTAATAAACTCTTAAGCATATGGAGTATCAATGCAATCTGTCTGAATATCCTGCTCGGTAGCCTCTGATAGGACAGAACTCTTGACCCATGTGTGGCCCAGCTGATTCTCCTCACATTAACATGTTTGGTTGCCTGAAGACATCATGCTGTGACAGCTATAGAGAATGTTCCTTCAAGCCGATCCATGAAGAGACGCACACTAATGTCTAACATGATGTAATCACCATCTCCGTAATCACATCATATCTAAAGTGAACGAGAGCTATTTAGCTGTGATAATTTAACATAGTGAAGAAAGGACTCATTACTGAGATACTGAAACATAGAGACACACATTAAAGCTGTTCTATCCTTCTTCAACTCTCGGCTTCCAGCCGTTTCAGATGCAACTAAGCCCACTGAAGCCTAGCGGGCAAATAAAGTTGCCAAAGTCTGTAAATATTTTTTAAATGTGTCGACAACTTTAAGCAGAGCTTTTTACAACTTGCTGGACAATCATATTTACATGAATAAAACACTTAAAATGTACTATGACATAGGGACCTTTTCCTGTTTAATAAGATGATTTTTATAGTGAAATTTCCACTTTTTGGATGATGGAAAGAATTATGATGTCTCTATCACAAAGTTTTTATTAATTATTATTATTATTAGGTAAAGTAGATGCACAACCTAAGGAGACAACTTTGAGTGTTTTTAAAAATGCATTATGTGAAGTAAAACTGAAAGAATACATTGAAAGTTTAAAGGTTTTATTTACACATATTTATAAAAATATGCATTGTATATATGTAATTATGCATTTGCTACTGTAGCAAGCAAAAACAAGTGGCTCTCAGCCCCATATATATATATATATATATATATATAACAAACAGCACCTATTTTGTAGAATCACCCAAAGATTGCAAAATAGCTGCACAGTATGTTCATATGAAAGACTGTGCAAATAATTCTACTTCTCTAGGGAAAATCTAAGTCATTAGTCTATATACCATGTCTTCTGAAGCGATATGATAGCCGCAGCTCTCAAGTTTCACTGTAGCTCTCAAATATATAATGTCTGTGTATTCTCAAGAAAAAAGGAGGAAAATAATATGGGGTTGAAACCAAATGAAAGTGAGTAAATGAAAATATTTGTATTTCTTGGTGAACTGATAGTTTAATGGAGACAAAAACTACAGAAATAACAGCATGAAGTCCAAGCTATCATTTTTCTTTTTTCCCTATAAGCAGTTAAAGGAACTGTAAATATTTTTTTTTAGGTTTGCATGAAGCTGGGTGACAGCATGCCCAGGAGACTACAGGCTGTCATTGAGGCTAAGGGTTGCCCAAATAAGTATTGATAGTTGTGTAAATACTGTCATACTAACAGCTGTCTAATTTTTGGTTGATTGTAATCCATTACATACCTTTCTATCAAAGTTATCTAACATTATCAAGCTGAATTTGTCCTGACACAGTTTAACTCTGAGTGAAAGTGAGTAAATGAAAATATTTTTATTTCTTGGTGAACTGATAGTTTAATGGAGACAAAAACTACAGAAATAACAGCATGAAGTCCAAGCTATCATTTTTCTTTTTTCCCTATAAGCAGTTAAAGGAACTGTAAATAGGAATTTCAAGATATGACATCACAACACTTTGCAGGTGGGTTGCAGAAACATCATGTGTGTAAGACTAGCAAATGAGTATGAAATTGGATGACAATCTGTAGTTTAAATGGGTGAGCAGCACCTGGCTTTCAAACGTCGCTAATTTTCACACATCGCTAAACAATCTCTAAACTCTAATA